CCGCATCCGTTCCCATTTCCCGCTGCAGAAGAGGAGTATGCTAACACCTGGGGGACAATCTCAGCTCTGCTTTCTCTTGGTGCTTCACTCGCTGCTGCACACGCCCAGCCGTGGCAGAGCGCCAGAGGAAGCAGGCTGGTGGGCATGAAGTAACCTGTAGCTGCAGATCCATGAACAGAGTATTTGTGAATGGCCGGCAGAAGGCCGGTCACCCAGAGCGGTCATGACACAAGTCTGCTTGCCAACTCAGACCACGGATGCAGAAACTCGTTTGTACAAAATGATTTAAATGGGTATCAGTTTCCCAGAGATGTAATTTCTATACAGCTGTGCAAGAGTATGAGCCTGCAGGCCGCGGTAAGTGGGAGCGGAGCTTCGAGCGGGAGAGGAGCTGGCAGTGCTTTGAAACTTCCCCTGTGCCTTAGGTGTAAACACTACAAAGTCAGCTGGAAATCAAACTGGAAACCAAGTGAACTGGAAACCGAACAGCAGGGTTGAGTGACCACACACACTGACTAAGCTGTGGTAATGATTTATTGAATGGGCCAGATACTTGACCAAATGCTTTTGGGCCATACTCAGATTGCCTTAATACCATATAAATCTCTGTCCTGAGTGTTTCTTAACAGCTGTCTCTCAGCATCATGCTGCGTTAGCTGAGCCTGAAAAACTTAATTACATCTCAGAGGCTCACTACCGAAGAGAATCAAAATGAAAGCAACCATGCTAACATAGTCTTTCAACAGCACGGTTACATTTCCCCCATGAAGCTGACAGGTTACTGAGCAGACATGTTAGAGCCAGAGGGGTGATAGTTTGCAAGGACAGTTACAATCAATTGCATCTTCTGAGTCATTTCCCTTCCCAAAGCATCTGTTACTGTATTTGCTAGATGTCTGAAAACAAATCTCCCTCAAGGGCAGTTGACCCATCCTAGTAGTAAAGGAAGAACAAAGTTACGTTCAATGTGTGAATATCAAAATCAGAATTAAAGTCATTTTTGTTGGGAAGCGTCTCAGATATATAGTAACCTGTCGATCCAGACGGAACATCACCATTCCCCAGTACAAATGTTGCCCGGTCAAGTTTTCATCCTAAGCTTAAATTGTGCGTGTGTCCTCTGACGCCTTCCTTATCCCACCTGCCTGCTTTATCAGTGACCTGCATTCTCTAGCAGGAGAAGCTGAAGCAGATTCTTACAATCACATCAGGGTGCAGCAGGGACGGAGAAACTCTTAAGACTACTCTCGCGAGGCAGCTGCATTTCTATATGTCCTCTAATAAAATTAGATGCCCTATCTTCTGAACTATCATTTGTCCCTACCCCCAACAGCTGGAAGTCTGCAGTCTTCAGGATCTGTCTGCTGTTACTGAGAAGGTTCAGCTAGTACACCAGTCTAAATGGTCGTGCATCCCTATCAAGTATCTCTAAACGCTTTGTGAAGTGCTCAGGTTGCAAACCAATATTCCTCTGCAAGTATTTATTTCTGTCCTTCTTCAGGGAGGTTATCCTGTCACTGCAGATCTGGCCCATTCAATAAATATGTAAAATCTTTGCATTGTGCAGTGAATACAGAAATAAGTATGAGTTATACACTTTATCATGATAACTGAATACGGGCAAGTTTTCAGAGCTTTCAGAAAAAAACAAAGAGCTGAGCTCAGGTAGCTGTGCTGCCATTTAAAACAATTTCATTAAGCAGTTACAAAAAAGAATAAAATGCATTAGAATAACATTGACTATTATCACTCTGTAACTTATTTATTGTAGATAAGTACAGTAACACTTTAGTTCTATCTGACAACAGCAGGAAGCCAGGAGAAACACACTAACAGAGAAAATAAATCCTGTCACACACCTGGGCTGCACAATTTAATCAGGTGATCTGCCTTCCCCAACCCACCCCCCACCAGTTTTATATTATACAACAGGAAAAAATATGTAACAGATATTCCCTGCATCAAGATACGAAGATTAAAAATACTGAAAAGCCTATGATGCCTAGAGGCCCCTCATGAAGTTGAAACGAACGTGTACTGAACTTGAAAGCCACACTCAGGGTCACACGATTTCTCACAAATCCCACAATACAGATTTCTGATCACTTGACTGTTTTCAAAGAGTTGCCCATTGCTGCAGAGGTAGGAGGTACCACATGGGAAGTCTGTGCCCTTCTTCACAGAGGCAGCCAGGGACACTCGGGCGTTAAAAAAAAAAAAAAAAAAAAAGGACACAGCACATGAAATACATCAGAGCATGTATTTCAGGATAAGAGTGAAATACAGCACAAGACCAAGGCACCGAACCGAGACCGCTTGG